TTAAAATTCCCGCTTAAACTAATTAATTTAATAGCAGGTTTATTTCTAAATAGGAAAAACCAAGTTTTTACGAGCTTCGGCAACACTGATTTTTACGATGTTCAGGTCGGTATAGATCAGGGTGAAGTCATTTCTCCCATCCTTTGGGTTATATACTACGATCCCTTATTTCAAAAAATCAAGGACACTGGACTTGGTTTCAGGATGGAGACCACCTGGAATCCTGATATTAATAAATCCTATCAACGCTCTCTCCAGGTCACAATTCCAGCAGTAGCTTACATGGACGACACTATATGGACCGCTAATAGTTACGACCAAATGAACAGCATCCTCAACATTGCTCAATCATTTTATAATCTCAACTCAATGAAAGTGAATTTTGATAAATCATGCATCATCATGGATAATGACAATAATGTTCCTCTCACGTTTCGTAATAACACAGATAATTCCATATTTACATGTCCAGTAATTCCTGACTACGAGTCAATGCGTTATCTAGGAGTCTGGATCTCAGCAAAATACAACAAAAAATTTATTAAAACTCAACTATCAGTCGAAATATCATCTTTCATTGATAAAATTAGATTTAAACCACTTACAGATAAACAATTACGCTACCTGAATAACATGGTCTTAATTCCTAGACTAGAATATAGATCTAAATTAATTGTATTATCGAAAAACGAATGCGAGGATTTGTTCAGACTAGGGATACTAATGGTTACGGTCATGACCGGTCATAACCGTGACCGATATCAGTCGGTCAAAGGTTACTGACTGACCGGTTGACCGACCGATTTTGACCGATTTTGACCGACCGATTGACCAACATTTTTTAATTAGTTATCCAAGACTTTTTTGCTTTAATTAACAATAATTTTAGTGATATTATTTTTTAAAAATAAAAAATTTTAATTTATTCTTAAAAAAAAGATCGCGATAAGCTGCATCACTAAAAATATGAAAGTAAACTTAATATGCATATCAAGTTTGCCTAAAAGGAATAAGTAAGTAAAATAGTAAGTTTTAGCAAATGCCATGTTAGTATTATTTAAAGCATAAATTAAAATTATCAATCAAGAACTTTAAATTATATTATTGTTAAATGCGGTCAGCAAAACCGGTCGGTCAACCGGTCGGTCGGTCAAAGGCCTTTGACCGACCGTTGACCGACCGTGAACCGACCATGACCGACCGTTACCATCCCTAATTTTTATGCATAATTTAATTAGTATTCTAAAACCGTTTTATTTAATTCAATTAAAAAGAAAGTATATAAATAACTATTCTTTGAAAACTAAAATATGAATGAGAAGTTTGACAAACTATATGAGCCTACTGAAGATCGACAAACATTCAAAAAATGTAATGAATGCAATCAATGGGGAGAACCTTCCAAAGAAAATCAACGATTTTGTCAAGCTTGTATTAAATTCTGTACGAAATGCGATGAATGTCATGAATGGGAAATACCTTCTAAAGTAGTTACAAAGATTTGTAAGCTTTGTATTTGGAAGTATGGGAAATGTAATAAATGTAAAGAATGGAGAAAACCTTCTGAAGAAAATTCGGAGTTTTGCAGAATCTGTATTAACTATTGTATGAAATGTGAATAATGTCATGAACTGAGAATACCTTCTGAAAAAAAGCGACAGATTTGTCAGCAATGTTTTGATCAATACAAGAAATGTGATGAATGTCATAAATTTAGATACCCTTCTAAATTAAATTCACAGTTTTGCTCAAGTTGTTGTATTAAAATATGTACGAAATGCGATGAATGTCATGAAATGAGAATATCTTCTAAAGAATCTTACGGGATTTGTCAAACTTGTATTAAAAAACAATACAAGAAATGTGATGAATGTCATGAATTTAGATACCCTTCTAAATTAGATTCACAGATTTGCTCAAGTTGTTGTATTAAAATATGTACGAAATGCGATGAATGTCATGAAATGAGAATACCTTCTAAAGAATCTTACGGGATTTGTCAAACTTGTATTAAAAAACAATACAAGAAATGTGATGAATGTCAAGAATTTAGATACCCTTCTAAAGAATGTTACGGGATTTGTAATTTTTGCTATAAATTATATAATTCAAGTGAAAATATAGATATTGATAATTTTATTAAATATACACAAGTTAATTGTAATCAAACTGTAAAAATGGAGTTCATTCCTTACTATCAATTTATTGATGTAACATTTGTTGCTGATGGAGGATTTAGTAAAATTTATAAAGCTATAAGGTTTGATAGAACAATAGAAAATGGTAAACCAAATAATGAACGAAAAAGTTCAATAGTTGCACTCAAAAAACTTAATAATTCTAAAAATATTACGACTAAGGAATTAAATGAGGTATACTATTTTATTATAATTATTAAATAATAATCTTATGATATTAATTTTAATTTTTATTTATAAATTTAGCTAAAAATATATTTTAACCTTAATTTAAATTGCGGATTATTTGATTCTTTTCACGTTAATGAGTATTATGGAATTACCCGTGATCCTAACACAGGAGATTTTATGTTTATTATGGATTATTATGAATCTGGTGATTTGGGTCATTACATTGCAAAAAATTTTTATAATCTTGAATGGAATAAAAAATTAGAAATTTTGGATAATATTTTAGGAGGGCTTTATCATATTCATGATCAAGAATTTATTCATCGAGATTTACATAGTGGAAATATACTTTATAGTAACCCATATAGCAAGCATCTTGTGGTAATAAGCGATTTAGGAATTAGTAAGTCTTCAACTGAATCAACTGATAATGAAAATAATTATGGAATTATTCCCTTTATGGCTCCTGAAATTTTTCTAGGACAAATATATACTACAAAAACAGATATCTATAGTTTTGGTATGATTATGTGGGAGTTAATGACAGGAAGAAAGCCATTTTGGGATCAAGATCAAGATAATCATCTTATCATTAAAATAGTTGATGGTTATCGCCCTCCCATTGTTACAAATGCACCCGAGGGTTTTACCGAGTTAATGCAGAAGTGTTGGCATATTAACCCAAATGAAAGACCAACAGCTAATTATTTGAAAGAAAAAGTTAGCCTTATGTTAGATAATGAATGGAATAATATACTAGACCGAAATAGAGCAACAAATATTATAGAATCATCGGATATCGGACCTATAAACCACAAGGCAGAATATAAGAGTAGATCTTTAAGTGAAATAAAATCTGTGACTTTGGAAAGAAATTTAAGCCGTTATATTAATTCAGAATTGGGTAAATATGATTAAATTTGATTATATTTTTTTTTATTTGCAATTAATAATCATAATTTTTTAAAAGAAGAAAGTGGCAAAAGAAAATTAGATGATAATAAAAATGTTAAAAGGATAAAAGTATTTGAAGATAAAAGTAGAGGTAAAATATTTCATACTTTTAGAATTAATTAAATATATTTTTATAATTAACTTTATTAAAAAAATTATTTAGAATATAAATCTAAGAGACTAGAATTTGATATATGAAAATACGTTATTATTCTATTTATTTTATTAAACTGATGTTATATATATATGAAATATTTTTAGAATCTATTACAAGAAACTTGAAAATCATCAATAATTTTTAAATCGTTTATAATCTTTTCCGATGAACAGCAATTGAATGAGACCTTTAGTTTATTCATTTATTTTTTTTTAAAACATAATTATCATTGTCTATCAAATTTGAAGTATTTTATTTATAAAATACAATAATTTAGCTATTCGCATACCTTTCTCTTTAGAATGCCCGGATTTATTAAATATATTCTAACTGGACTTGAGTCATTTATTTTTCCCATCAATGTTTTCAAATATACTATACTATTTCATCACTTTCGGAGACTTTACGAAATGTTTATATAGCCCAATTATTTTATTTTCTGATAAATTTTTTTTAGAGACATAAGATGTGTATATTCTCAAACATATGTGATAAGTGAATAATATTTGTATTCTTTTTTATAATATTTTTTTTTATGTTTAGTTCAATGTTTTATTTTTTTTCATTTTAATTAGTTATTGTATTTAATTTAAATCAGTGCACTCCATTTATTCTCTTAATTATATTGAATTTAATTTTTTAAATATATGCAAACCTCATTAGAATATTTCCCTCAAAATGTTAACTGAATTGACTTTGTATTCACAAATGAAATGATGAATTCCCTTTTTGTTGTAAAAAATACAACTTTACCTGCCACTGTAACGTCATAAATGTTTACCAATTTTGCCTCTCTTAAACAAACTCCATTTCTCAAATAACTGTCTTACCAAATTTACTTCGTAACTCGTTCTGAATCTTAAAAAACTTAATATTCAATTTATGACTTTATATTTTTGATACACCAAAATTGTGTAATTTTTCTACAAACCTAAAAAACATGTTAACGCATTTATATTTTTAATTTGTATTGTCTTGTTACAATATTAAAAGTTTCGACTTACTGTAAGTTACCAAATTTAACGTTAATATATGTTGTTTTATGTGCTCCTGATATGCACATTTGTGAAAAATGATTTCATTAAATATTAAGAGTAAATTTTTGAAAGTTCCTTGACTGCTGACACTTCCAAGTTGTCAAATCGTAAGTTTAGGCCAATTCCGTATTCTTACTCCTAGATAGAATTTTGTATAAACAGACTTAGTTTTCTTGGATAAAATCATTTGTATATCTTTTATAGGGCGGCCATTACATATCACCAGTCGATCGACGCAATTTATTTTTTATTCATTAAACCCAATTCTGGCGAAGCCAAATTGTTTATAGCAAAGTTCCTAAATATTGAAGACAATATTGAAAAACAAATTAGTAAAATAAAAAAGATTTTGCGTGGAAAATATGTAAATATGACTTTAAATCTTCAAAGAATTTGTCCTAGTTTGTCGCAAGAATTTTATTATTATGAAAAACCACAATTAATCGTAATTTGATGGATTTCTCAATTTAATTAATAATATATTTTTTTTTTATTAGGAAATCAGTATTAATTTCTCTGTTAGATCCATGAAAACTAAGCAAATGATCTAACTCAATAGTATAAAACAAAATGTATTGCGAATTATATTTATGCATAATTAGTTATTAATAACATATTTCAAAGTTACATAGGATTTACTTAAACATATTTCTAAATTGAGTTTTGCCCGCAACTCAACTGTGCAAAATAAAAAAAGAAAATATATTGCAACAATTCAACCGACCACTTGAACATAGTAAAATGAGGTATGTATGATACAGTATATTGTTCAACGTAATTTTAAGTAACTTTATTGTGGATAAGTTTTCTTCAAATTGTAAAATCCTCCTTAGTTCTACTGTTCTTCTCGATAATTTCTTATCCTTTCCCTTCGATAATAGTTAGTTTGTTAACTTTTTGTGATGGATGATGAAATAAGAATAACGTTTGGTAAAAATTTAGAAAGTATATACGTAAGAAAATTTAAAAAAATAATGTAATTATGAAGGTAATTAAGGCCCCTTTAAGTTTATGAATGATTAATAAAATCCATATATATTGAGTTCAAGTAATTTTATTTATTTATGTGCTATTCTTATTGAAAATTTTAGACAAATTCACATTTATTATATGTAGTTTATTTCGAACATATATATTAGCCATAGTTTGGAATAGGAATATTGTATAAAGTCAAACTTGTTGAAAGAGTTTGTATAAAAAAAAAGTAATGATCAATGTGGAAAAATGACCGGCTTCTGCGGATAAAATTGGCATGACATCTCGCAATAATGATTTTAATAACCAGATATTTATTATAGCCATTTATAGAATGACTCAAGACAACAACAATATTATGTCGATATTTGTAGCTGAAAAGAATAACTATTATAATTTTAAATATGTCAATAAATCTATCAGTAAATTTTATGAGAAAATTTTATTCAATACCTGATTTTCAACATATTATACTGTATAATCAGATTAATCACGTGATTCATTTAAATTTCCGGCGGAACTGTTGGATTTCTGACCTTTACATAGTATAGTTCGAACTCCCTGGATTGATGGAATATATATGTCATCTTTGACATCAGGGATCAATTAAATTGCGTCATTCAGCCGCATTAATATTGATATTTTTAGAGAATTTCGTAACAAAGCCAAATTTATTATAAAAGAAGGATGTTTCGATTTAGATTACTTCTCTTTAGGCCTATGTGGTAATAGATGAAATCCTTTGTATTAAATAAACAAAACACTTTCATTTTCTATTATCAAATTTCGTTTGTTATATTAAATTGATCTACCTTTCGCTACTATCGCAATTACATTTTCGTTTACGATAAAAACTAACAAATCATCTCTCGTGTAATTAGGAGGTGAAAATAACATATTTCATTTGCTGATGTCATATGTAATAATATTTATTCTATGACTTAAGATGTCCGGATGTACCCTCGCTAAATATTGGTTCGACGAGATTGGTCTCTTTCGGTTTCCACCATTAGTTCACGTAAACACTTTGTTAATGATAGCAGCAAAGGTTAAATAGAAGTTAGTTCATAAGCTCTTCTTTGCAATGCAATGCACAGCCAAAGACCAAAAAAAAATATACTTTTACGTAATGTTTCGTCCGGAACATCTTCTTCGACAGTTTGTATCGACTACTTGCAGAAATATTTTAGAAATGAAGAAAACCTTAATGTCGTAAGATCAAGAATCTTAAATTTTATAACTTCTCACATTTTTCATTGTTCATATGTTTTCATTACCGTGTAAGAATCATTTTAATTAATTAATATTTTAGCTTTTTCGACTTTCAAATGTTGCTCTTTCAAATAGGTTACGATGAGCAACATAAATATGAATAATGACTTTGAAGTTCTACATCTTATGTTCTGCCCCCTCTAAAGCGGAAATGGACACATGACGGTAGGTATTTAACCTTGTCGTTCATAAGTTCTATGAAAAACAAGTGAAAGGAATGTTTCTTAAAACTTCTTTACTTTTAGATTGTGGAGTACATTACATAATGGCGGCGAGAAACGTGGTGACCCGAACTCTTTTCCAAAATTTTTATTTTACCGTATAGGTATGATTCGAAAGTTTGGATTCCTTTGAAAGTTTTGTATTAATTTTGCCCTTTGATTTCTAGTTTAGGAAAAATCGAGTATTCTTCCGAAAGAATCCAACGGCGATGTACTGTATATAAGAATAAAAGATACGACACAATTGTCAATTACAACAGTTTGGGACGCGTTATGCATTCTGAAAGAGGAAGAAGAGAAAGAGGAAGAGAAAGAAGGACAAGAGGATTCGTTTCATCTGCTTCATCAGCACCTAATTATTTCTTGGATTTTCATTGGAACATCGGTAATAGAGGCCAAAATTCCTTAACCGGTTCAAATTTAACTAAGGACTGCACTATTAATTTGTGCAAATCTATCAAAATCACTATACTGTTTTAATTCTGCCCGAAAATTAAATTTCGGCCGGAGTTAACATTAAATATTTTAATCGGTTAAAAAAAAATATTTAACTGGTTAACAAGATAAACGTCTTAGTCGGTTAATTAACCGGTTCCAATTGTAATCGGTAATAGCTCCAAAAAAATTAGACAGAAATGGCTTTGTCAGAGTTCGACAGAACAACGAACTAACGAAATCAAAATGGAGAAATAATTCCGAATCTAAAGGAATGGGCGTTTGGAAACTGTGCAGAGGTGAACTCATGAAAGAAACAGAGATCCAATATTCCGATCAAAACTCGCACGATCGACGTAAGAACAAAAAAAGATACCACCTTGTCTAGATTGCAAATCTTGCCTGAATATCTTCAAGACCAATTGAAAATAATATTCGTTTTGGATATCACCAAATCACAAATAAGATTCATTGGACTTGGTAGATACAGAATTTATTGAGAATGAGTATTCTTAGATCATTCTGGTAACGTCATTTGATGTTAGACGAGAAGGTTCATATGATCCGTAAGGTGATTTTAATAGCCTATCACCCATATGTCGAGAACAGTCTAACAGAAAGCCTCACAAATTATTTCATATACCCAGATAATATATGTAAAGTCATGGAAAACACTCGTGAGCGGATCCCAGTTAAAGAATTCAAGCATTATGTTGATAAAAAGTTTAAAAATATTATGGATAAGATGACAAGCAAGTGTTTGTGTATGAAGGATTTGAAAAATATACGATTAAATATAGTGAGAGGCGAGCGAAAAGGATTGAAAGGCGAATGCGAAAAGTAAGGCTAAACAGAATATATAGTATAGTTTTTTTCCGCGAAATTGGAACTTACTCCCCTTGTATAATTCTTATACTTGTTACATTTGTATAGTTTATTAAAACTAGATATCAATTCATGCTTCATATCGTAACTTTATTCATAAATAAATTATCGCCAAAAGCAACAATAATGAAAATAAATTTGCGAAAAATCGTTGGCAAAATCTTTGCGAAATTCACAAGTTAGCGTAAATTCTAGACTTTCTACTATCTACGAAATTCTTACTTTCATTACTACAAACATAACAATCATATGATCATTTATCTGATAATACTCATGACTTATGCGCCTCTTTAATCAATATTATTCAATTTGAAGTTCTAACTTTGTTAATGGAATAAATATTTGATATATTTGATCATTTTCTATTACATTTATTTTTTTTTTTTAATTGAACTTAATTTATCAACCAATTAATTCATAGCTAGAAGATTATCATTATCCCAACACTAAAGAATATAATATTTCAACGTACGTTGCAACATAATAAGATATTTATCAGTCTAAAGTTAACAATAACCTTCAAGTGTATTGCATCAGAAACTATATTCTCGCTAAACCCTGTGAAAATTTTCAACCTTTGACAAAAAAAAGAGGGCAACCACTTTATATAAGAGGACGTTGAGACTATAAACGTTACTTCTTTCATTTTATGTATATTGTAGGCGAAGTATTATATCCTCATAGCAATTCACAATATGATGTCAGTCCAGAGACCACATCTCTTCTAAAGTCTTCTTTGGTTTATTCTCTAAAAATTCTGCAGTCTCACAATCGAGAATATTAGCATTAGCTATATCAGAAATCTCCTTTGCTTTAACGATAGAGGAATTCACCTTATATATTTCCAACTAAATGGTGTGTCTTCAATTCTTTTCGATAATCAAACGGGATGTTACAGAAACCTTTATAAGATGGTTTTCTATGTATGAAACGTATGCTAGGTTAACCCGGATATATTAATACTTTTAGGAAATGGATTTTTCTTTTTACTTAGTAATTTTTTCTTGGTTTTAAGTTGCTTTCGGATCGACAATATTATCGGCACATGCGTCACACAATTTTTTACGAATTTTATTTTTTGAACCTATACATTAATTTGAACTTTAAAAATATTATTTAAGTGTAAATTTGCTCGTTATGTAAGGTTAATTAGAACTTCAAATGAGGTTTTTGTTGTAAAATTGCAAAAATGCGCCACATATATTAGTGGATCTTTGCAATAGAAGGGGTGGGAAAATAAAATTTTGTATATAAAAGTTAAATTGATTTTTCCTGGCAGTTTCCCCCTTCTGCAAAGGTACCATATGATTGATTAGTGCGATAATGGTTACGCAAATTTTATTTTTAATAAAACTGGAAACATCATTTATAAATATATAAATAATGTGGTAACGTGGTGTCACGAAGGAAAATAATCAACCATAAAACAATTAAAAAAAATTTTTTTAACCTTTCACCACCCACACTACCTTAAAGATCTGCATTAGAAAATATACCAAATGCTCGTAAAAAGCTGAGAAAAATAGTGAAATTAAAATGAACTACACGTTATCATTTGCAACAAAAAAAGATGAAGAGAATAATATTTTAAATTTTTATAAAAAAAAGTAATAACATTCTAACGAAAGAGCAAACACGGAACTGATTGGGAAGACGAGGTTGATATTAAAGTTCGAATATACTACCCGAAATCAAGAACTACATGGGTCTAATTAAACCTAAAAGAAAAGTTATCAAATATTCGTAAAAAAACTCGAAACAGATAGTATAATTAAAATGGACTGTGCATTATTATTTGCAAAAAAGGTGCAGGCAGAGCAGATTATTAATGGGTACTGAAAGGTACATATTGGCTGAGATATCTAGAGAAGATGAAAATCATAAGGTTTTAAAAAAGAAAATAGAAAAAGATCATAACATTCTATATTTAAAGAACAGTTTAAACCCTGATTGGAAAATTTTAAACGAATTGAGTAAATTAGATTATGGACGCACCATAAATTTAGATGGAATTACGGAGCATTTATGATGAAGGATTTTGAAATGACTATTTCTGGCAATGAAGCATATAAAAAATATAATCATGTAATTAATTCGCAAGATTGGATTAAGTTTACAAATCTATTTTCTAGTAGCAACATTTGTGTGGATTTTTTAAAACTAGGAATACCAGTCGAAAAAATCAAATAATAAAAATTCGAAATTAGTTTTCTATAGTTGCACAGAAATTAAAAAAGTATCTTTGAAATTTGATAAAGTTTCTTTGGAAATAAATGAAGAATTTAAGAAAAAGGTTGAAAAGCCATAAATTCCGAACATCTTAAAGAACTTGCTGAAGGAGTTATTAACGGTTATGGCTGTTATTTGCTGATTATTAACGTTAACACTTAGAAAATCATAATTCGATTCCTCAAATGCAAGAAAATATAGACAATTATAGTTCTGTAGAATCATGTCGGTAAGTATATATATTTAAATTATCAATCAAATTTTATTTGAATACTAATTAATATACTGATTCACACGATAACGAGTAGAATGTAAAAGGTCTAGAAGTTAAGTACTTGTTAACGGTAGAGAAAAAGCTACTTAAAATATATATTATCAAATTAATTTCATAATTTATAAATGTAGAATCGCATACTATTTATTTATATAATCAAAATGTGAGTATTAAAATTATTTCTTTAGCATTTTTCATTTCACACATATTTGCTCAAGCGTTTGAGTTAAAACAAGAAATTATTAGACTAAATTAACTCAAAAGTTAGTCTTAATTTAATCAAGCGGATTAGAAATATATATTTATTGAATTTATGAATAATTAATAACTGTCATTGTTTACTTAAATTAGATCTTTAGACGTGCGATTTATTTAAAAAAAATCTGAATATGCGCAGTTCTTTACGTTAAAACCGATGTAAAAGGATGCTTCAAGTCGCGATGATAAATTTTTTTTTGGATTCGTTAGTGTTATTATTATTTTCGTTATTTAAATATTTTTAACAGTCATTTTTGATAATTAGATTAAATTATTATTAAATGTCATCCATGAAGCACGTGATATTTTTGCCATTTTCAAATTAATACCACGTGTGAGCATAACTTTCCTTTTTAGTGCAAACGCGTAAATAATGCAAAGAAAAAGCTTATGGATAACCCATGATCCCGAAAAATAATATAAATATTGGACATTTGTATGATTTTATTTCTCTCTTGCGAAACCTTTTTTTATTTTAATAAATCAATTCCATTTTTTATTCTTTTTCTTTTTTACAAGTTGGACATTTATAGAATTGGTAAACTTGTATATGTCCAATTGTACATCACATCATATATGTCCAAATAAGACATTGAATACAAAATAAAATGTCGTCAAAATACTTTGAAAGACACTCTGCCTAGCCTGATCCCTAGTCAACGACTTTGATAACTGGTGCCTAAAAAAATTAGCAAATAGATACATAGAATAGAATGTTTTACAAACATTTAAATGATATATTATTAAAAGAAACCTCAAAAGATATTAAGCAAGCAAGAAATCTTATCAATAAAAGAAAAATGTAAGTAACCCTTAGTTAGGTTGAAATAAGTAACTACTATTCTGGAGGGAAACTTTCTTTCACTAGTTTATTTGCATGTATTTAAAACTAACCATCTTTTCTCTTTTTCCTTTAAATAACTAAGGAACGAAGCTCGCCAATATATTATGGAAAAACCTTGACGTTTTAAAATCAATCAATAAAGAACACTACCGATGCTGATAAGGAGATAAGGAAGGAACTTACCGTTTAAAGAACGATTAAAGAAAGAGAGTAAATATTAGAACAATGGAACTATCTAATGTCGAAAAAGAAAAGGAACTGGATTATATATAACACTTTTAAAATATAAATTTGCAAATATTTTCACCAGCACGTCCCTCACATATTTTATATTTTTTTAATAATAGTTTCTGTTTTTTTTGGTACCCTTCCCACACTTTTCTATTTCTATTTATTTTTTTAGTAATAGTACTTAATAGGTTTCACATATTCACATGTATTTTTTTATAATAATTATTGTCATTTTTACTTTTTCTGAAATGAGGCACCATCCTGTTCAAAAGTCCAGAGTTGAATCTGGACTTTTACTAGATCAATTCCTTAAATTTTCCGTTACAAATAAATTTTATCTGAATTACTTTTATAGAAATTTTTTTTTAGTTATATATTTTTGAATTATAAATTATTCTTAAATGCCCAAGTTATATATGCTACTTCGCCAATATATCTCGAAAGAAGAAAATTTTTGATTATCAGATTTGATATAAACAAATTATGTAATATCTATAACCTATCCTGGACACGCTAAGTATTAGGTTTGTCACGTGAAAGTTATTGGAGTTGCGACAACAATTCCATTATACGAATTTAACTTCTCATTTCCTTGATTCTCTTCACCATCTTCTTAATGTTAAGCTTCAGATCAGAATCAATCACAATGATTTCTTTATTATCAGGCTATATTTTTTTTACGCTACAGCGACTTATTTTTGGGTTCAAAGAGGGTATTTGATTTCTAGATTGCGTTAGACTAATTCATTAAGAAAAAAAAATATTTGATTAATTTTAAATAAAATTTTGATGTAAATAGTTAGTTTTAAACATATCGATCGATAAAAACTAGCTATAGTTGTGAAAAAATAAGAATATTTTTTACAATTTTATAATTCATTTTAATTTTTTTTTTTTAGATGACATGTTAATAAATAGTGATTTGAGACGATAAAAAGATAAAAAAATAAATCAGAATAGACACCAAATCAATCTTTAATTATTACATTAAAATGTCATAACCTGCAAAGTAGTATAATCACAGATACTTAAATTATTATTGAATAAAATCTTTCAATAAAAAAAAATGCCAACAATTGAAGCAAATAAAAATCAAAATTATATTTTCAGTTAAAAATGGAATGGTTTAATAAATTCTACATTTTTGTAGATGTATCGTAAGCTTGTTTAAGTGGAATTGATAATAAAGGGTCTTCTGCCGGAATTCTTCATGTCACATATAATAAAGCAAAATTAAAAAATTTACATAATAATTCTCATTATTTATTGACTAATGAACTAAATAAATTTATCAACTGATGTTTAACAAGAAATAAAAGAATAAAAGTGCAATAATTATATAAATTTATTTTTATTTGAATAAACTAATCCAACTTTATGAAAATGCCCAATAAATAAATAGTTTAATTCAACACTTTTTTGTTACCAGCACGTATAGCATGAGATTTTTTTTTAAATTTACTAATCTCGTAAAAAAATCACAATTCCTTCTTCTGTCTTTCTTTCTTTTGCATCGTCCCATATATATGTCACTATTGATCTTCAAATCTTTTTGAAATGTTCTCTGAAGGTTTTAAATCTATAGGCGGAAACAAATGATAATAAAGTAATTATGCAAAGGTCAAATAAAAAAACTTTTAAAAACCAAATTCGGTTACTAATTAAATATACACATATTTAGGAAAAAATATTTCCATTTGGCACCTGAAATAAAGCACTTATGTATTCTTTGAAATTTCATATTTTAGTTCACTTCTATTATTATATTGATCTAATGTAATCCCTCACGTATATTTAGGAATCATTATCCTTTCTCTTCGTAATATTTTCTTTTTTATTAAAAAAAATAATAGTTAAGTAACTGTCTTCTAAAATTATGACGTTAAAATTCATTCCTTCTATATTCTGTGGGTATATTGATTGAATCGGTCATACAACTATGATTCATTATCTACTGTTATTAGCTGATCATGGTCTAGAGAAGAGCAATACCAGTGTTAAAGATTTCAAAATGCTCAAGATCTCTTGTTAATGACAACGATAATCTTCTGCTGTGAAATTTACAGAGACTACCACGATTCGATTTCATTCTTGGATGCACAATATCTATTTCTGACTTAATGATCGTATTAGTTATTCTAGATAAAATTTTTGTTTAGAATAAAGGAAATTGAACTATTCTCATAAAACCTATTACAGAGAGCCGATTAAGGTAGTAATAGCTGGTTTGATTTTGTATTTATCTTCAGTCTCTATAAAAAATTTTATTATTACGAAATTTTTTAAAAAAAATTAAAGGTTTGAATACTAACTTTTTCGTTTTAAATGCTTAATAATCTCGTTTTTACATGTACAAATTTAAACGTTACATTTTTTTTACATTCAAAAGCAAGTTTATATTAATCCGAACCAACGCACGCTCTCCCAAGCGTAAATGATTAAATAAGATGATATCATAATTTCTTCATGATAATATTATGATTAGTAATAAAGATTGCTAATCACTTGATCGATGTACTGTACTACCGGGCATTGCAAAAATGATCGAAGAAATTAAGAATGTCTATAATAAAAACGATTTGTATCGCTTTTTATTGATAAATTTATGCAACGCTCGGGTTTTGTTGATCCAAATCTGATCGGACAGATCTGTTGGAATTGACATTTGAACTCAGTGGACTGATGGAAAATATATGTCAAATGACCACTTTTGACAACAGGGATCAATTAAAATGTATATTCGTCATTCAGCCTTAACATTGATATATTTAAGTAATGCCGTAACAAAGTCATGGGAAGGAAATTTATTATAAAAATGCTTCGTTTTGCTCTTAGTTTACTATCGCATTTGAATTTGATAGTTCTATTATCAAAAGGCCTATTACAAAGTGCCGACAAAGGCAGTAATAGTTGCATTTATGTATTTATTTGTCATTTATTTAATAAACTTATTTCTTTTTCATCCTTTAATAAAACTCTTCTTTTTTTGTAAGGTTGGCGTTGGCTTTTGTTTGCGTAGTCCCTTTTTGGTCAATATTTCAGTTTAGAATCTTTAAGAAATTTACGTTATTATTGCGTAATATTGAGTCTTTAACGTTAAATTTTATGAATATTTCTTATAAAAAGACAAACTTATTCTCTTTAAATATTTCTTTAAAAAAATATATTTGATGAAATGTGTAAGTTTTATTAAGTCAGAAATCACAGATTCAACAGAGTCACAACGTTTTATTCCTTGAATAACTATAATTGGCAGCTAACTTTTCTTTTTTCATTAAATGTGACCAAAAGTGCAAAATGTGGAAAGTGTATCTGACTTAAGATTGTCACATGATCTGTTGTGTGTTAAGACATTAATAAAAATTTGATCTCCGTTTTAAATAACTAGATATGTCAAGTTTTTTATAACTCTGACATCTCAGGTAATTTAATATTATGTTGTACGAATTTTTGTCAAAATATTGATAATGATTTTTTTTATAGCTAAGAAATTTTAATCCTGAAACGAAAATTTATTTACTTCATATTTTGTATTTTTCCTGGATATTAGGGGAACGACTACAACTCGGGAATACAATTTCTATTGAACAAACATGTTTATAATGGATAATTGTCAAATCTTTTAAAACTGTGACACTATGAAGCTCAAATTTTCTTTCTGTAACGTTGATTTTGTTCTTTTAAATTTTATTAGAACACAAGCATGTTTGCGACAACCTTTTATGCGGATTATGAATTAACGTGTAAAAATTCAAGCAATTCAATCATACTCATACGGTACGACTTTAATAGCTATATAACCCCTCAAGAAGAGGAATTCTTGTTATTCGACTTATTCATCTGAACGGATCAGGTACCGCCTTTGATGCACCCTTTCGTTGCGATGATTTTTTAGATTGTCCAGCATTACCGTATCCTTTATGGAGCAACATTATCTTTATGACCTACCTATATGACAAATGATTATT